TAAATTATTATATTAACCATCGACCTTGGCTACCGGACTGTATCACGTGCGATAGTCAGCATTCAAATTAAGTTTATCATGAATAAATGTTACATAAAGTGCATATTATAAAATAGGCCTACAGGAAAACATTTTTCTAACCTACAGTCTTGTAAGTCCATTAACTGATCGTCTTTTCCCCGTGATATTTGTATATTATTATTATTATTATTATTATTATTACCCTATTATTATTGGTTATATATTTATATTCGCTTGTATTCATTTGTTCCCTTCATTTCGATCTCTTTAATTAATGTTCTGAATCCTTTTGTAAATAATAGCCTACTGTAAATGCTTGACATGCCAATAAAGCTTTGAATATTCTGACTGGAATTTTTGCTGGAATGCAGATTAAATTGAACATATATTTAATTTTATTTCGGCTAATTAATAGACCATAATTATAAATAATATAGTGTTTCGTTGAGGAATTAATAATTCACGTAGTTTCATTTGTAAATGAAAACACAACACGCTCATTTATCATCACACATGGGCATAAATGCAATCATAAAGTCAAAACTTTATTGGCATAATTGTCAGGCATTTATTTGCAAAATATATGGTAGGCTAGCAAATGCTAGCATAATTATACAAAACGTTAACTAGGTAAAGCGATACACAAATTGAAAGGGGAAATAAGCATATATAACAATAAATATAAAAATATAGCCCTAATAAGTTAATGTAATAATAATAATAATAATAATATACAAATATGAAATTTGTTTTTTTTTTACCTTAAACCGCATAAACACATTTCATTACACCAAATACACAAAATAATGTTCTTTTTAGCAACATCATATGACCCCTTTAAACTCGTGGCCACGAGAAAAATATGCCGTTCCCTCAACATAAGAAGTCGTGGCCACGACATAAGGATGCCGTTACCTTGACAAAATGATATCGTGGCCACGACATAATATCACGTTCCCACGAGTTAATATGACGATCCCATGAATTAATATCTCGTGGCCACAACATATTATCACGTTCCCACGAGTTATTATGTCGTGGCCACGACAAAACTAAGTGAACCGACCATGTCACCTCCCGGGCACCGTACATAGCAGCAAGATGTGCATGTATTTGTCAGATTATGTAAAAAACGAGTGTTAGAGAATGTGACACACATAAACTACCCTGTGTGTGCTCAGATTCTGAACCTCGACTAAAGCAATTTTAAAATCAAAATGACAACTTTAAGCTGTCCATCAATATCAGTATCAGTATCCACACCCTAAACCTAAACTATAGTGTTAACAAAAGCAAACGAGAAATAAAACTCTTCTAAACTTTGCTGAAGTAACAATGCCATTTTAGTTTGCTTCTTCAAATCTCTGAGCTCTTTTATTGTGATTTGTGTTTTGTGGGATTCTTACTCGAGCGATTCATATTACAAGTGTGATGCTGTACCGGGTGCACTACTGAGCAAGTTTACTATGCCAGAAAATCCATACATATGGAGGTGGTTATTTGATACAAACAAGAAAATGTATTAGTAAATCATATATTATGGTAAAAGTGTTTTGAGCTCATAACATAGTATTGTGCAAGGAACCACATGAAAATGAATCTTTATGAATTGATACTCTGTCACTATAATCATAATTTGGAATAAAATGAAAAACAAGTTGTTGGTGTTTTACTGCCTCTAGTGTTCATTTCAGCTGGAAATTGCCGTGAATTGTATGTGTGGGTATGTTTTTTTTTTTTTTTAATTTTCCAATAGTAACCGTTCCCTCAACATAAGAAGTCGTGGCCACGACATAAGGATGCCGTTACCTTGACAAAATGATATCGTGGCCACGACATAATATCACGTTCCCACGAGTTAATATGACGATCCCATGAATTAATATCTCGTGGCCACAACATATTATCACGTTCCCACGAGTTATTATGTCGTGGCCACGACAAAACTAAGTGAACCGACCATGTCACCTCCCGGGCACCGTACATAGCAGCAAGATGTGCATGTATTTGTCAGATTATGTAAAAAACGAGTGTTAGAGAATGTGACACACATAAACTACCCTGTGTGTGCTCAGATTCTGAACCTCGACTAAAGCAATTTTAAAATCAAAATGACAACTTTAAGCTGTCCATCAATATCAGTATCAGTATCCACACCCTAAACCTAAACTATAGTGTTAACAAAAGCAAACGAGAAATAAAACTCTGCTAAACTTTGCTGAAGTAACAATGCCATTTTAGTTTGCTTCTTCAAATCTCTGAGCTCTTTTATTGTGATTTGTGTTTTGTGGGATTCATACTCGAGCGATTCATATTACAAGTGTGATGCTGTACCGGGTGCACTACTGAGCAAGTTTACTATGCCAGAAAATCCATACATATGGAGGTGGTTATTTGATACAAACAAGAAAATGTATTAGTAAATCATATATTATGGTAAAAGTGTTTTGAGCTCATAACATAGTATTGTGCAAGGAACCACATGAAAATGAATCTTTATGAATTGATACTCTGTCACTATAATCATAATTTGGAATAAAATGAAAAACAAGTTGTTGGTGTTTTACTGCCTCTAGTGTTCATTTCAGCTGGAAATTGCCGTGAATTGTATGTGTGGGTATGTTTTTTTTTTTTTATTAATTTTCCAATAGTAATGTAGTAGAGGCACATCTTCCCATTGAGCCAAGGTTGGTGTAATGGACACATTCAATACTGCTGAAACCCTTTCAGGAAGTTTTATTTTTACTACACGAGTTTGACCAAGACATTTAAGAACTCACTAAGGTTCAGCTGTCACTTTAGCTGTCTCTATAAATGTTAATAATTTGCCTTTCCTAAGGTAAACTTTTTCTCTCAGGCCTATGATTGGAAAGCAGGATTAGTTTTGCTCTGTGGTGTGATACAGTGACATAAACTCTTGGTCTCACCGTGGTTCTTCAGCAGTAATAAGGGGTATTGTGTTTGTGTTCTGACCCCAGAAATGTTTCTTTCATCCTGGAAGTCTGTAAACTCGAATGCCTCTGTCAACCATTGTGTCCTTGAGCAGGACACTTAACCCATGTTCCCTCAGGTCCAGCCGCAGCATGTTTCTACTGCATCCTTACCAGTTAGTCTTGACAATGATTAGAGAGTGCTCAGGCCCCGTCCACACGGAGACGCGTTTAGCTGTATACGCATACATTTTGTATCGTATAGGCATTTCGTCCAGATGGATCCGGGAGAGTGAAACCGATATTTTTTTTAAACCGGGTCCCAGAGTGGATAAATCTGAAAACGCCACCCTTGCGTTTTCGTGTGGACAGCGAATCCATATATTTTCTGAAACAATGACGTCATCAGCCCATGTCTCGCCCCTAGTCAGACACCGCTACGTCACGTAACAGCAACAAAAACATGAACAAACACTGAACGATTGTCTTTTTATTAACTAACATTAACACAGATTAATAAACGTATTGTTCCATGTTCGTTTGTATACCGCGCACAAGGTTTATGCGCATAGTCCAAGTCTTCTTCTCTGTTTTTAGTGTATCTCTGTGGCAGAATTACAGCGCCACATGCTGGTCTGGCATGTATACTACATCATTTTGTGTCGGTTTCGTGTGGATGCAGATATTTCTTGAGACAAGGGGAAAAAAAGATCGGATAGGGAAAGCTCTGGCTTCGTGTGGACGTAGCCTCAGTGGCCACTCTTACACCAAACAAACTGAGATTAGAAAATACTGGGACTGAATAGGTGTGAAACCATTTCCCCCTTGATTGCTGTGTGATTGCTGCTGACTTTGTGTGGTACAAACAAGCATTGGTCTTCTTATTAAATATAGCATTTTAATGAGAAATAGATTATTATTTGAAACATTCATTTTGAAGAAAGCCAATATAGTTATTTCAACAGAACAGCAGAAATTACATAAAGTACTTGAAAGCAGTTTCTCAACCCACTGAATCGGATAGTGTGTCGTACATGGTTTCTGTAACAGGAGTGTATGGAAGGCTGTAAGCATGTGCTCGTGTAGATCATTAACAGATTTAGCTTGGACAAGATCCATTTCAGCTGGTGACATTTCTCCAGATGAGGGCAAATGATTTTGTGGGAGACCTGTCATATTTACAGAACTTGTGCTCGAGGAGGGTTTGTGTCGCGTTTAATGGGCTGCGGTTCATTTGCTGTAATCTAAGAAAAGCTTTTGATTCCATGGCTATATCAAGACAAAATAGGTATTTACACTTATAATACACATTTAACTCTAATTCATTAAACAAGTTAAGTATCATCTCACTCTCAAGAGGTTATTTTCAATTCATGCAGAGTACAGCAAGAAAGATTTTGGCCCTGTTCCCATGAGTCAAGTGGCATGTGTTTAGATTTAGTTAAACTTCCTGTTAAACAAACAAACAAAGAAAAAAGAAAGAATAAAGAAAAAAAAAGTGAAGGAAAAGCATTAAAGGGATAGCTAACAGGCACTTAATAAGATTGGATAATAATGGCAATAATAATAATTAATGCTACTAATAATGGCATTCTCCCTATTCTAGAAATAACTCCAGTGAAGGTTATTTTGCACAAAAATAATACAACTAAAAAAAAATAAAAAATCCCCCATCCCAGCTAAGATTTTAGAGTAGAGAGATTAATCTGTCGACATGTCAAAAAAGTTAAACCTGAATTGCATCAAGGAATATAAAACCCAAATGAAATCTTATAAAAAAGTAAAGTGTACATTTGGTATACAAGCAGATTTTGAGATTAAAACCATCATAGATATTTGAAGCTTTAATATACTGTTCTTGTGGATTCACTCTTGTTAATGAAAATGCAATGGCTTTACAATGTCATGCCATAATCCCGCAGTACATATATATCATTTTCTCTTTTTTTTCAGACCACTGTGCTATATTTCATTAGAAAAAAACTGAAAAACAAAAATACAAAAGCAATTTATAGGACATTTCTCACAAAATATGCACAGCTTCTTTTTTTCATCCCTCTGAGAAATGTATGGCTTTATGCTGACCATTAAAGAAATGAGAAATGATAAAATTGTGTTCACGGTGCTGCAAAAAACATGACACATCAGCAATCACAACGTGTACATTATGCGAAGCAGTACGAAATAGCATGAATTGATTATGTTCAACCATAGATACTGCACTCAGGCACCGAAGTGACTCGACCTCGCTGAAGAACAAGAGCGCGAATCTGAAAATACAACAGGGGGAGCCCACGCAGGATTCAGTTCACCTGCCGAGCGGCAATAAACGGCAATCGAGAAAACTGGACGTCCAGCAAGAAACGGAGGACGTCCGTCCTGAACTCACTGCCAAGCTCTCTTAGAGGGGTGTCATATGAAAGGACAAGACGCTGTACAGTCAATGAATCATTACGCTGTATAAACCTCATCTAAAAGATGCATGATAACAACATGGTAGTGTCTCAAATTAATTACTGTATTTTGGTTCTGCCCTTATACATCTCTAAAAACGTGTTAACCAGTAAAGAATGGCAGTTTAAGATGTACCTTTGTTCCCTCAAACTAAAATCAAGGCCTCTGTGTCACTGGATGTTGAATTTAATAAGTATAATAGTGATCTTTTCTCATATTTTTTTCTGTTTAGGAAATGACAGACATGCTAGGACAAATATGATACAATAATTTTTTTTGTTTGTTTCCTTTAGTGAACTAAAATTATTTATCTCTGTATTTTTAGTTTCTGTTTAACAATTACACTTACAAAGTTGTTATTACATCAAAAAAGCAAACCAAAAGGTTCCAAATCAAGCAGAGAAAGAACATAAAAAGGATTCTTTCTTATTTTGTTGTTCTCAATACAATGTTTTATTTGTTCGAATTGTGTTTTCAGCAGAGTTTGGTAGTCAGATGGTCTGATTGTTTCAAGATTTCTGTGTTGTACATGTCCAAGGCATGATTCACGCGAATCATCTCGCTGTTGTTGAGCTTGAGTCGATGTTTCAGCATACAGGAGAACAGGTCCAGCTGGGGCTTCCCAGGGGCCACTGGAGGGGCCAGACGGTTAATTCTCTCCCGTATGTCCAGCAGCAGGAGCATGATGGACGAGGACGAGTAGAACTGGTTCCCCTGCGTGTACGACTGATTGACCTGCTGCACGGCGCTCCTCAGCAGGTCAGCGTTGAATCGCAGGCTGTAGCCGAACACTTGGATATCGGAGATCTTGATGTAGATCTGCCGCTTGTTGGGATCGGATAAGTCCACTGGGCCCTGGCCCGTGTCGTTCCGCAGGACGGTGGGCACCTTAGTGCGGCTTCGCAGGTAGATGTGCACAGTCTCGAAGAAGGTCTTCCAGCGGTTTCCCAACAGCAGGGTCCAGTTAAAGCACTGCGAGTTCTGCAGTCGCACCTTCTCCCAGCGCGGGTATCCGTGCTCGCCGAACGGCATGCTCCAACCCTCCGAGTGGCTTCCGCTGAACGGGTTCACATAAACGAAGAACATGGGGTCCACACTGCTGTTGCGCATCTGGCAGATCTTCATGGACAGGCCTACGATCATGTGCAGGTAGTCCATGCGGTTCTTGTTGCTCTTGAGCGTCAGCGACATCCGCTTGCGCCACCGTGGGTCGAAGAAGGTCTCCAGGCGCACCTCGTTGCTGATGAAGGTCGTGTGGATGTGCAGCCGTGAGTCCATCTTCTGCAGCAGGTACTTGAGCTCCAGGTCCTGGAAGTCCAGGTCTGTCTCGAAGCTGATGAACTGCTCGCTGCGCTCCGAGTCCACGTTCTGCGGCTCGCAGCGTCCGCGGTACAGCTTGTAGCCCTTGTTGCAGGAGCCACATTGCGAGATGTTGGCCAGGCTGCACATGGCACAACTGTTGTTGCCGCCGATCACGCAAGGGATGGGCCGCTGGCAAAGGGTGGCCCCCGTGTGGCACACGCACATGCGCTGGCTCTCCAGGAAGGCTCCCCAGAAGCCGTTCTCGTTGCAGTAGAGGAACGACTGCACACGGTTCAGCCACTGTAGCACCGATCTGAAAGCAGACAGAAAACAGTGCAGTCAAAGCAGGTGAGTAGAAGGATCCATTAATAATGCAGCGTTAAGTCCAAAGGCACAAAGCTAGCGCCTCAGCCTCCTGACGTTTGTTACAGTCTAATCACTAAAATGGATAATGTATTCTGTCAAATTTTCCCAATGCACACCTCGTCTTTTCTCTCCCCGCAGGCATTTTGCCTTGTCATTCTGAAAGCCTTTGGAGCTTCTCTGCTGCATGAGGAGAGAACTGAACACCTGAATTTTGATTTCTGGTAGACAAAGTGCTAAAGGTTATGATGACATGCTAATGAACCCAGAGTGTAACAGAGTCAGATTTTAGATATTCTTACTTGATATTCCTGACATTGATGATAGAAACACAAAAAGGCAATGCTGCAGTTAGCTGTGCAGTTCTTTGACTGGAAACAAGGAAGTCTCCTTGCAACCAGTTTGCGGAGGATAAACGATGCTATGCAATGCAAGCATGTGTTTGGCCGGTGTGTGATTATCAACAGAGGATCATTTGCAGTGTTGCTTTATCATGTACCATAGGAATTTTATGGATGTAAATTATTTGTTTAAAAGTGAATTTTTATTAGGAATGCACAGATACTGATACTGAAATCGGTATCGGGCCAGAAGTCACATTTATTTTTTATAACACTTTATATAATACAAATATTTTCAAAGCAACTTCACAGTAATAAACAAGAAAATAAGAGTGTCAATGCTGAAAAATTTATAAAAAATGAATCAAATTTCAGCTATGAAGCATCTCTATAGAAGACAATAATGTCATTCAGCTCAGTGTAGTTCACTAGCAGTGTTGATGTTACAAAGTTAATCAATTATGAAACAAGTTCAATTCAGCTATAAGCAGCTCTACACAAGACAAAAGTGTCATTATTCAGCTTAAGTTAGTTCAATGTTGATTCATTTCAGTTCGTAACACTAGCTATGTTTCCATTCACATATTTTGTGTGAATTTTGGGATATCATGTAAAAAACCGATACAATCGAAAAAAAATAAATTTAAAAAAAGTTACATTTGCAACTTTAAGACAAAATGGCATTATTCAGCTCAGCTCAGTTCAAATTGTCTTCTTATACCATAGTGTCAAAAATGTGATAAAATGAAAACACAATTATAAAATGAACAGTGAAAGTAACAGATGCTTGAGCAATGCATTTAACAGGCATAATTAAGCATTAAAATGAATAAAGAAAACATTTAATAATCCTCTTTCCTCTTGTGTAAGATGCTTTGTATAAAAGTGTTGATAAAAATAATAATATGATGAATATAATATTTTGTTTTCTCTAACCAATATTTAAATAATAATAATAATAATAATAATAATGAACGTATCACTGTACAAACCACAAAACCTATGCGACCCAGTGGAAGTGTGATTCATTAAACCCTAACTAATCATATAAAAGTTTTCCTATTTGAAATACAAACATTTCTGAAACATAATGTGCAATGGAAATTGAAAGCCTCCATTAGTGACTTATTGTGAACTATATGCAATTTCCATAGACTATCAGTAGTGAAATGAAACTGTAAACTTATTAGCATCTCTCTTAATATAACTGCACACAGTATTCAATCTATATAAATAAAGCAATATTCCTAGCCAAACATTATTAGATTTTCAGTTCACTCCTGATTACTTGACCAATAAAAAGCTTAAGACTAGTCTCATTCGATTTGAAGCCATACGCAGTTGACTCATTTGTGACATTTGATATTGTATTGTTTCATATTCATTCACAATAAGCAAGCTTTATGCAGTCGGACTCCCATATGTTATATTCTCTAACTGCGTTTCCCAATATGGATTTCAGAGTGGCTTGCTGGTTTTATTTTGCACAATTATTTGTTTTTCTGAAACAAGTGGCTGACTTGAGTTTGCCGTGGGGAATGAGATGGAGATGACGAGGAAGAATGCTGTTTGTTTTCACATCCTCATGTTTGTAATGGGGCATCAGAGCGCTCTGCTGCACAGACTGCATGACGTACATCACCGCAATTTCTCTTCTAATGGATAATGGAGGAGAGGAGAGAGAGCAGACTGTAGATGTAAGTCACTCTGAGTGAGGGGGAGGCCTGTATATAGGGTTCATTTATTTTATTAAATTAAAGATGCTGCAAGTGATACTGCAACCTGTCAGATATCACCGAAATACAGTGAGTGTTTCAGCTGTCTCTGTCACTAGACTCCATAATCAGGAGCGAGAGAGAGAGAGAGAGAGAGAGAGAAAAGCATTTGACCGCGGTCTGCACAGGTTAGTTGGAGAATTTGGAGGTGCCTCTGTATCAAGCAGGGTTATTATAGTTAACAAAAGACATAAAAAACATTATAATAAATTATGATAGACTGTAATAAATATGATAAACTTAATAAAAAAAAAACATATTAAACGTATTTCAGCTAGTTGCCACAGCAACCTTGCAACTTGATGTACTAAAATAAGATTAATATGTTTATGTTTCTGCAGAAAACAGCTGCTTTAAAATTCCTAAGACAACAAAATAAGGACCCACTTTAT